ATCACTTCATAAGACACAAGATTGAAGAAGGACTCCTTGTGACAAGGAGGATATCGTCGGATGAGAATCCTGCAGATCCCCTTACGAAGGGACTGACGAGGGTTAAGCATTTTCAGCATGCGAGACGCATCGGGCTGAGGGACGATATTAGTTTTACAGATTAGATAGTTTTCCTGAAACTTGTAAAATGTAATCGACGTTTGATGATGAATAAAATTTGTGATTTATTTATGAGTAAAGTGTTACTATCATTGTCAATTATTTACTATTGTTTCAGTTTTGCATGTTTTGACTTCCAGAATAATTAATTTATTCAAACCTCCACAATCGATCATACGTCGGAAGTAGGTATGAATCAAGATTGTCATGAATTGGGTTTGTAGATGCCTTAAAGGTGTTTAGACATGGCAATGGTTGCTGCAACATTCATGAGTACTCATAAGTTATGAGTATTGGTATAAACCCACGCTCACTTGTATCACTTCATGGAATTTATCTCGAGTGATCGTGAGACGATAACATCATATAAATCTTTAAACCTAGAGATATGAGTTGTTACCTATGAGTTGGTTGTGCATTGATTGCACGTAAACGCATCAGTAACTTGATGTTATAAAACGTGCCTTTGTGTACAATTCAATAAGTAGTAGAACAAGCATATCAGTCGAAGTTTATCTGTTCCTTCTAGAAATAGAAGCGATATCTGGGCCCCTCGATGATTTTGTGTTGACCCATGTACCAGGCCTGGTCAGAACTAAACCGATGTGTTCAGTGAAGTTCTTCGTCAAACAAATCGGAAAATCGAGAAACAACTGCTAGACAATAAGCAAGACATAGTTCCATGTGTTTGTCCGGCTGATATCATGAGAACAGAGGATTATGTGATCACTTATCTAAAATGGCGCTTCATAGTTCGACAGAGTCTTCATTGTTCGAGGGAGTTTTCGAGAGCTACGATTGTTGGTTGGTTCCTGAAGTTATAGGCAAATATAGTTATTAGACTTATCCAAGTGGGAGTCTGTTGGATAAGGTGTCTAAGTCCATAACTTTTCGAAGTACTCTTGTGCACCTACGTCATTCGGCTCGCGCGCAACCCTGCCCCGTTATGTTATAGAAGAATTGAGCTTCTTGCTGGGCTGGTTATTCAGAGCCAGCAATTGGCTGTCGGATTTCGTCCCGCAACTAGAATAAGATCGCTTCGGGGGTCACTATGATGTGGCTGAATGTAGAGCAGCCCGCCCTTACAGCCTTTGATCAGTAGATTATTAAGGCAATTGAATTGAATTAGCAAGTCTCCAGACTGATTTACTGGAGCAGGAGAAGTCACATCACTGAATCAAGATGCCACTAACTTTATTCCTTACGCTTTTTCCGATGTTCGGGTCGGCTTTCTTTGTCGGACGTTTTATAGGAACGGACAGCTGCCCCATAATTTCCACCGTCATCGCTTTATTATTACTTTTGGTCACTTTAATACTGGTTTATATAATTTGAGTTTCCAAAGGGAAGAAGAGTTCTTTTCTTTTCTTCGTCAAAGTGGTAGTTTCTGGGCACAAAGGATTTTTGGTATATACTTGACCCGACCGGCATGGTCCATTTGGGTTGCATCTCATCCAAACTATTATGGATAATTTTATGAGAGTTATACACATATGTTTATTAATATATTATGAGTTATAATATATTAATATGAAGTTACGTTATTTAATTAGTTTTAGTCTTAAATTAATTATGAATTAATTTAGAGATTAAAAGGAATACTAATTAAATTATGGGCTATTTGTTTTATATAGTGTGGGCTAATACTCATTTGTTAATGGGCTAGGCTTATGTGGAAGTCCATGGATGATCCATGGAGCTTTTAACCCATGGATCCTTGGAAAAGGAAAAGACATGGGTTATTAGGGTTTCACCCTAACCATGCACACTATATAAGCATGCTTATGGAGCATGAAATGGAGCCTAAGAGAAAACTAGTGAACTAGTGTGTGTGTGCATGTGTGTGGCCGATTTTATACAAGGTGTATACTCTCTCAAAGTTTTCCAAGAGTTTGTGGTGTTTGTGATTCCATTTGAGGCATTCACACTATTGGTGCTTGGCCCTCAAACTCCTTAGAACCAAACTCACCAAAAGGTATGTAATCTCTTCTAACTCTTTTATGTTGAAATGTTCCCCATGCCATGTTAGATAGGTTATAAACCTTGGAAAATTATTATTTTGCATGTATTTAGACAAACATAGATCCAAGGTTTATTAGGGTTGCATGCACACTTAGGAAGTGTTAGATTGCTCAAAACCCAACAACAAGGACCAAGTGTGTAACTAAAACAAATAGTAGGGACCTTTCGAGTTAAAAAAATAAGTTAGGGACCAAACGTACAGATTACCCTAAACCATAGGGACCATTCGTGTAATAGTCTAGGGGTGACAATTGTTGACACGACACGACAAAAATACACAACACGAAACGAAATTGGGGCGAAACTGAAATTCAAATTCGTGTTCGTGTTAAGTGTAAAAAACACGATGTCGTGTCGTGCCGTGTTCGCGTTTAAAATTCGACACGAAATTGACACGATTAACATTTATTTGTCATGTTTTTCGAGTTAAAAAAATAAGTTAGGGACCAAACGTACAGATTACCCTAAACCATAGGGACCATTCGTGTAATAGTCTAGGAGTGGCAATTGTTGACACGACACGACAAAAATACACGACACGAAACGAAATTGGGGGAAACTGAAATTCAAATTCGTGTTCGTGTCGTGTTCGTGTTAAGTGTAAAAAACACGATATCGTGTCGTATCGTGTCGTGTTCGCGTTTAAAATTCAACACAAAATTGACACGATTAACATTTATTTGTCGTGTTTTTCGTGTTATGTATTATTAAATATTAATTAAATAACCTATTTTTTTTATTATGTTATCTTTGTCGTGTCGTGTCGTGTTTGTCGTTTTTTAATCGGTTCGTTTTCGTGTTAGTAAAAAAAAATACGACATCGTGTCGTGTCGTGTTCGTGTTACATAAAACTTTGTCGTATCGTGTCAGACAAAAACACGACACGATGACCCGATTTGCCATCCCTATGTAATACATGGGTAAAGAAAAAATCACTTTAATGTTTATAATTCAATATTTTTCTTAGACAAAATAGCAAGAATGGTCCATGTGGTTAGGTCGAAATTGCTACTTTGGCCCAAACAAGTTTGGAGTACCACTCATGGTCCAAAGGTTTTCATTTTCTTGCCACTTCGGTCCCGTTTACTTTAAAGTTTGTTGCAATGATGATTTTGTCCTTGGATTTTATTTTTTTCAGCTTTTTATTTATTTAAATACTTTTATAATTCAAAGAAAAAAAATACATCTCTCTCTCTCTCTCTCTCTCTCTCTTTCTCTCTCTCTCTTCTCTCTCTCTCTCTCTTCATTGTGTCTTCTTCTCTATTGTGTCTTCTTCTCTATTGTGTCTTCTTCTCCACCCAAAAAATGTTTTTCATCCTATTCATCTTCAAAACAATATCTTTTTTTTTTTAAACCAAACGCAAAATCTAGAGCTTGTAGCACCGATTTCGTAAAAGAATCCTAGTAATTACTTCTCAAATCCTCCTCAACGAACTTAAATCCCCAAATCAAAACCAGAAATTGAAGTGGAAACAGGGAATGACCATCAATTTAATCACTGAAGATGGATCATCGATTTAATGGCGGTGGCGGAGCAAATCAAGCTCTTGAGGTTGAACAAGGTGAAGAACAGTCAGAGGAAATCACGTACCCATCATCTCCTTCATGGAGAACTAAAATCTGGGTTCATTCTTGGATCTACACAACCGGCATCCCCGATTGACAATTTTAACCATATGAATAATGGTTTTAACCCCATTACATACAACCATGATTTTGATGGGTTCGTTTCTTTTATTAACGTTGATGCAGGGAAGAAGGATCTGTCAAAGGTGTGACCAAGTTTTCCAGTTGGAGATGGAAATGAAGACTGAAAGAGGGATTGTTGTCCAAACTGGAGATTGATTCTACTTATCAATGTCATTTCCTTCGAGGGAACAATTAAAACAACATAGACATACCTCGTGTTCTTCAGATTTGGAATATTGAAAAAGAAAGGAGTCGTCAGAGTTTTGAGGTTGGTGATGTATCGGAACCATAAAGTTTCTGATGGAGAACGAGATGAGAGAGGGACATGAAGAAGGTGGAGGAGATGAGAATTAGAGTTTTGGGTGTCGGAAGATGTGCAGTGGCGGCTGAAAAAGGGGTGGCAGAGATGAGATGCGTCAGTGAAGGTGAAGTTAGGATTTCGATACTATGATTATGATGGCCGTCTCCAGTGGTTTGGGTGGTGTTTGTCAAGTAAGGAAAAAAGGGACGATAAATGGTTTAGAGAGAGAGAGAGAGAGAGAGAGAGAGAGAGAGAGAGAGAGAGAGATTATTTTTCTTTTAATTATAAAAATATTTAAATAAATAAAAACTGAAAAAAATAAAATCTAAAAGCAAAATCATCAATTACAAAAAAAAAAAAAAGAAAATTTAAAGTAAATTAAACCTAAGAAAATAAAAACCTTTAAACCATAATTGCTAGTACAATTCTATTTGGTCCAAATAACAATTTTTGAATTACATTTATAAAATTACGCCAGTAAAAAAAAAATTAATAATAATAAAGTTTGACTTGCGAATATGATGAAAACCTAGATGCGGTTTACTGCCAACAAATGCTAGCAATTGCAAGTCGTTTAAGCTCGCAGTCTTAGTTGCCCGTGATTATGGTGTTGATGACAAACCCAAAAATCGTTTCTTCTTTTATCGTCTCCCATCACCTCAAAAAATTCAAAGGTTCCTTCACTACTCATTCTTCCCTTATTTTTTGTAGAAATCCTTCTTCAATTTTGGAATTCAGAATCGGAATCTGTCCCCCCAAAACGATTTTAGGTTCATTTCTTTCAGCCTTTTCTTCTAGTCCCCAAAAACTGCATAATAAATATCAATCTATGTTTGAAAATATCGACGATGCCCTCAAACTGTTTGATGAAATGACACAGAGGCAACCTCTGCCATCTGTTGTTAAATTCAACCAATTGTTGCAAGCTGTTACCAAAATGAAACACTATTCTTGTTCAGTTGAAATATTTAAACAAATGAACGTCATTCGTATTCCTGTAGATGTGTACACTATTACCATTGTGATAAATAGTTGTTGCCAAATGTATCATACCAGAGAAGGTTTTGCAGCCCTAGGCAATGGCCTCAAACATGCGGTTTTACCAAATGTCTGGACTTTCAGTACCCTATTAAATGGACTCATCCTAGAAGATAAAATAATCAAAGCAGAAAGGTTATTCAAGAAACTGATAAAAAAGGAACTTTTTGAACCTGATACAATCATGTACAACACTATGATTAAAGGGCTTTGCAAATTTGGCATTAATGATACAGCCATTGCTTTGCTTAAACTAATGGATGAAAGGGGTTGTAAACCTGATGTGGTCACATATACCACCATCATTGATAGTCTTTGCAAGGTCAAAATGGTAGATGATGCTTTGAAGCTCTTTAAAGAAATGGTTTTCCATAAATACATCCAACCTAATGTTGTCACTTACAACTCTTTGATTCATGGACTTTGTAACTTATGTCGTTGGGATGAGGTCTCTAAAATGCTCCAAGAAATGAAAGAGGAAAAGATCTCTCCATGTGTTGAAACATATAATATATTAGTGGATGCGCTTTGCAAAGAAGGAATGGTGGAAGATGCAAATGGTGTGATCAAGTTAATGATCCAGAGAGGGATTGATCTTGATATTGTGACATACACTTCACTTATTGATGGGTATTGTTTGCGAGGTGAAATGAGCAAAGCTAGGGAAGTTTTTGATTCGGTTGAAATTCATGGTGTGGTCCCTAATATTATTACTTATAGTAGTTTATTGAATGGGTATTGTAAAAATTTAAAGATAGAAGATGCCATGCATTTTTTTCATGAAATGATTAAAAAAGATATGAAACCCGATGTAATCACTTACACCACCATGTTACAAGGATTGTTTCGAGTTGGACATTGTAAAGATGCATATGATCTCTTTAATGAGATGCGAGCACACAACGAGATTCCAGATGGATGCACTTACACAATAGTTTTGGAGGGTCTATGCAACAACAATCAAGTGGAGGAAGCACTCTCTTTGTTTCATTTGATGGGTGACAACAAGCTAAATTTAGATATCGTTGTGTACACCATACTCATTGATGGTGCAAGTAAAAGTGGGAAGATTGATATTGCAAGGATTCTTTTCAATGAGGTAAGTGTTAAAGGTTTGCAACTTGATGTTTGGACATATAATGTGATGATTAGTGGTTTTTGTCGGGAAGGTCTTGTGGGGGAAGCAAAAAAATTGTTTTATACAATGGAAACGAATGGTTGTCCGCCAGATAGTGTGACTTGCAATGCTTTTCTCCAAGGAATTCTCAAAAACCAACAACATGATTTCGTAGAGATGCTTTTAAAAGAAGTGGAAGGAAGAGGTTTCACACTTGATGCTACAACTGTATCACTATTACTTGATCATATCAAAGCTAGGTCTTTAGATGCTTCTTTGCTTAAGTTGATTGGTAAACTTGTGCCAAAGGAAGGAGTTGATGCTCCTTGTTTTACAGTGTAG